ACCTAAAGCAACTAGAGAAAGAAGAACAAAGAAAATACAAAATTAATGCACAGAAATCAGTAGAAGGAAAGAAATCATAAAGATCATATCAGAAATAAATGAAATAGAAAACAAGAAAACAATAGCAAAGATCAACAAAACTAAAAGTTGGTTCCTTGAGAAGATGAACAAAATTGATAAACATTTAGCCAGACTCATCAAGAACAAAAGGGAGAGGACACAAATCAATAAAATTAGAAATGAAAAAGGAGAAATCACAACTGACACCGCAGAAATACAAAGGATTATAAGTGATTATTACAGGCAACTGTATGCCAATAAAATGGACAACCTGGAAGAAATGGACAAATTCTTGAAAAGGTACAATCTCTCAAGACTGAGCCAGGAAGAATTAGAAAATATAAACAGACCTATCACAAGTAATGAAATTGAAACTGTAATTAAAAAATCTTCCAACAAACAAAAGTCCAGGACCAGATGGCTTCACAGGCGAATTCTATCCAACATTTAGAGGAGAGCTAACACCTGTCCTTCTGAAACTTCTCCAAAAAATTGCAGAGGGAGGAACACTCCCAAATTCGTTCTACAAGGCCACCATCACCCTGATACCAAAACCAGATAATGATATCACAAAAAAAGAATATTCCAGACAAATATCACTGATGAACATAGACACAAAAATCCTCAATAAAATACTAGCAAACAGAATCCAACAACACATTAAAAGGATCATACAACATGATCAGGTGGGATTTATCCCAGGAATGCAAGGATTCTTCCATATATGCAAATCAACCAATGTGATACACCATATAAACAAATTAAGGAATAAAAAACATATGATCATCTCAATAGATGCAGAAAAAGCTTTTGACAAAATTCAACACCAATTCATGATAAAAACTCTCCAGAAAATGGGCATAGAGGGAACCTACCTCAACATAATAAAGGTCTTATACGACAAACCCACAGCAAACATCATTCTCAATGCTGAAAAACTGAAAGCATTTCCACTAAGATCAGGAAGAAGACAAGGATGTCCACTCTCACCACTATTATTCAACATAGTTTTGGAAGTTTTAGCCACAGCAATCAGAGAAGAAAAAGAAATAAAAGGAATCCAAATTGGAAAAGAAATAGTAAAACTGTCACTGTTTGCAGATGACATGATACTATACATAGAAAATCCTAAGGATGCCACCAGAAAACTACTAGAACTAATCAATGAATTTGGTAAGGTTGCAGGATACAAAATTAATGCACAGAAATCTCTTGCATTCCTATACATTAACAATGAAAAATCAGAAAGAGAAATTAAGGAAATAATCCCATTTACCATCACAACAAAAAGAATAAAATACTTAGGAATAAACCTACCTAAGGAGGCAAAAATCTATACTCAGAAAACTATAAAACACTGATGAAAGAAATCAAAGATGACATAAACAGATGGAGAAATATACCATGTTCTTGGATTGAAAGTATCAATATTGTGAAAATGAAAATACTACCTAAAGCAATCTACAGATTCAATGCAATCCCTATCAAATTACCAATGGAATTCTTCATAGAATTAGAACAAAAAAAATTTTACAATTTGTATGAAAACACAAAAGACCCCGAATAGCCAAAGCAATCTTGAGAAAGAAACACGAAGCTGGAGGAATCAGACTCCCTGACTTCAAACTATACTACAAACCTACAGTAATCAAGACTGTATGGTACTGGCATAAAAACAGAAATATAGATCAATGGTACAGGATAGAAAGCCCAGAGATAAACCCACGCACATATGGTCATCTAATTTATGACAAAGGAGGCAAGAACATACAATGGAGAAAAGACAGCCTCTTCAATAAGTGGTGCTGGGAAAACTGGACAGCTACATATAAAAGAATAAAATTAGAGCACTACCTAACACTGTACACAAAAATAAACTCAAAATGGATTAAAGACCTAAATATAAGACTGGACACTATAAAACTCTTAGAGGAAAACATAGGAAAAACACTCTTTGACATAGACCACAGCAAGATCTTTTTGACCCACATCCTAGAGTAATGGAAATAAAGACAAAAATAAACAAATGGGACTTAATTAAACTTAAAAGCTTTTGTACAGCAAAGGAAACCATAAACAAGACAAAAAGACAATCCTCAGAATGGGAGAAAATATTTGCAAATGAAGCAACTGACAAAGGATTAATCTCCAAAATATACAAACAGTTCATGGAGCTCAATATCAAAAAATCAAACAACCCAATTAAAAGATGGGCAGAAGACCTAAATAGACATGTCACCAAAGAAGACATACAGATGGCCAAGAGGCACATGAAAAGATGCTCAACATCACTAATTATTAGAGAAATGCAAATCAAAACTACAATGAGGTATCACCTCACACCAGTCAGAATGGCCATCATCAAAAAATCTACAGGGCTTCCCTGGTGGCGCAGTGGTTGAGAGTCTGCCTGCCAATGCAGGGGACACGGGTTCATGCCCTGGTCCGGGAAGATCCCACATGCCATGGAGCGGCTGGGCCCATGAGCCATCGCCGCTGAGCCTGGGCATCCGGAGCCTGTGCTCCACAACGGGAGAGGCCACAACAGTGAGAGGCCTGCGTACCGACAGAAAAAAAAACAACTCTACAAACAGTAAATGCTAGAGAGGGTGTGGAGAAAAGGGAACCCTCTTGCATTGTTGGTGGAAATGTAAATTGATACAGCCACTATGGAGAACAGTATGGAGGTTCCTTAAAAAACTAAAAATAGAACTATCATATGACCCAGCAACCCACTACTGGGCATATACCCTGAGAAAACCATAATTCAAAATTCAAAAGGACATATGTACCCCAATGTTCATTGTAGCATTATTTACAATAGTCAGGACATGGAAACAACCTAAGTGTCCATCAACATATGAATGGATAAAGAAGATGTGGTACATATATGCAATGGAATATTACTTAGCCATAAAAAAGAACGAAATTGGGTCATTTGTAGAGATGTGATGGACCTAGAGTCTGTCATACAGAGCAAAGTAAGCCAGAAAGAGAAAAACAAATATTGTATATTAACGCATATATGTGGAATCTAGAAAAACGGTACAGATGAACCTATTTGCAGGGTAGAAATAGAGATACAGACGTAGAGAACGGACGTGTGGACACAGGGTGGGAAGGGGAGGGTGGGACAAATTGGGAGATTAGGATTGACATATATACACTACCATGTGTAAAACTGATAGCTAGCGAGAACATGCTATAAAGCACAGGAAGCTCAGCTTGGTGCTCTGTGACAATCTAGATGGGTGGGATGGGGGAGGGAGGGGAGATCCAAGGTCCAAGAAGGAGAGGATATAGGTATACATATAGCTGATTCACTTCATTGTATAGCAGAAACTAAAACAACATTGTAAAGCAATTATACTCCGATAAAAAAATAAATAGATTTTTAAAAAATAAAAATAAAACACACCACGCACACAGCCTATCTGACAGTCTTCATGCACCCCTGCCACTTGGAAGGAACCCTGCACAGAGCCCCACACCGACAGGGCTGTGTGCTGCCAGGGAGAGGCTGCTCTGAGCTCCACGTTTCTCTCTAACGCCATGTGGTTTGTTCGTACATCTTTTTTTTTTTTTTTTTTCGGTAGGCGGGCCTCTCACTGTTGTGGCCTCTCCCGTTGTGGAGCGCAGGCTCAGCGGCCATGGCTCACGGACCCAGCCGCTCCGTGGCATGTGGGATCTTCCCGGACTGGGGCACGAACCCGTGTCCCCTGCATTGGCAGGTGGACTCTCAACCACTGCGCCACCAGGGAAGCCCTGTTCGTACATCTTTAAATGAATTACATCAACACATCAGTTTTTCTTCCTTGGGAGGATTCTCTTATTGATAGTAACTTCATCAAACCCCTGAGCCACTTTGATCAGTTCATTTCCTCATAAACAGAAAGTACCAGTGATTTGTCTCAAACAGTGAAATGTTCACAGCTCACATCTACACCACGTGTGAAAGGTTACGTCTGACGTCACACACAGCAGCCCCTCCACTACAGACTTGAGACCACTGTGCCTCCTTCCCAGAGAGCCTACATGCACTGGGGGACTTTACATCTCCGTACGGAGCTCTAAACTTTCTGTTCAGTTGGACTCATCCCTCTTTCTAACGAATGTGAGAGAGACAAGCGTATTGGAAGATTCCAGGAGGGACCCTTCCAGAAAAGTTTCCTTGAGTCCAGGGACCATGCTTCACTTATCTGTATGTCCCCTGTGCCCAGCACAGGGCTTGGCCCTGAGCAAGCATACTGAATGTCTATTGTACAGCAGGATGGATAGATGGATGGATGGATGGATGGATGGATGGATGGATGGATGTGAACAAATGGGTAAATTCGTGGGTGGGAAGATGAGCGGAGAGATGGAGGGAGAGAGCAAGAGAGGGACAGGGAAATGGATGGGTGGGAGGATGGATGGATGGACACATGGGTGAGTAAATAAGTAACAGAGGTCCCACCCCATGTACCCTTTAACCACTCAGGGAAGCAGCAAGTAAGTATCTTGCCAGCACTCGGCACCGGTCGTCTTCTTCCCACCCCCAGCCTCCAGGATGGACTTCACTAAATCCCTAAAAGGTTGAAACTGTCCTTCCACCCACCTCTCCAGGGTCTAGCAGCAGAGGAACAGAAGGAAGGTGTCACCCCTCACTCCTGAGGTGACATGTTACCATCCACCCCCCACCAGTTACCAAGGGCCAGGTCGGAGCTGACACTCAGCCACCCCAGGCTGACCCTGGTGGAGGCTCAAGGAGGCCCAGCGAGTGACGAGTGCTTAGAGGCCATGTGGGAAAGAGAGGACACCCGAGCTGAAACCAGATGTGTAAGCAGGAATGAGCCTGACTAACGTGTGTTCGTGTGTGTGTGTGTGTGTGCGCGCGCGCACATGCATGTGTGCAGGAGGGAGTGGTGAGGGCGGGGAAGGCAAAGACCCCCAGCAGACCCTAAGTGAGACCCTGGTGTGTCTGAGGATGGAGAGGCCCAGGCAGCCAGGCAACAGAAGACAGGGCGGGCGAGCCCAGAGGCAGGTGCGGCGTCAGCGGGGCCCTCTGTGACAGGCCCTGAGTGCTGCAAAGACAGTGTCGAGCCACAGAGGGGGTGGGGTGTCCTTGGTGATACAATCAGGTTTGCACTCCCCAGAAGTCAAGGCGGCACTTGGGTTGCCCGCCCCAGGACGACCTGACCAGCCTTCCCTGGAAAGAATCCTGCTGACCCTGGGAGAGCCCATGCTGACTGCGGAGAAAGCCCATCCCGATCTCAGGAGACAGGCTCTGAGACCTCGTGAAGCTGCCTGGACTGTGCCTTGCCCTGTGAACAGGCTTCAGCACTTGCCACGGCCAGCCTCGCCTGTCCTCACTGAGGTCTGGGGGGGCAGGAACCCTGACGGCGGCTGGGCACGTGCCGGAGCAGGGCTGTGTAGGTATGTAGAAAGGGGGGCTGCTGTCACATGCAGGCCAGGATGTCACCTTTACAGTCACCTTTATTAGCACAAGCCTGTCCGCTGAAGTCACCAATACTATAGAAGGGCCATCAGCCTGAAGTCCCCTCTGGTGGTTCCCTTGGGAAGTAGGTGCTGCTACGATCCTGGTGCCCGCCTGGAGTCCACTCTGAGCGCCTCCTGCGCCAGCCAGACGTGAGCCAGAGGCCTGGGTGTGCACCAGGCAGCCTGGTCCTGACCTCAGGGAGCTTCCGACGTGGCTGAAGCTTCTCCAGAAAGAAACATGTCTCCTTGGAAACCCCTCTGGTGTCTGGGGTCTCGCAGTTACAGCAGAGCTGTCATGGGCAAACCCCAGAGGGATTTCTGCAGTGTGGACGGGGCAGCCCTGGGCTTCCTTGTGCTGAAGAAAGAGGCGTAGTCATGTGGTTCCAGTGCAGTCTTCACAAATTCATCCTGAGCAAGAGAAACCATGTTAGGTTTAACGAATGGGCTTCTGAAATCTGAGCGTGGGAAAATGATTACTTGTCCCTGTACAGCATCTTCGGATTAAATGGGGGGCTTCTCAGGCTTCCCATCACCTGAGCCCACACATCAAGCCTGAGGTAGGAAGGTCTGTGTGGTCATTTGCTCCTCAAATGACAGCACAGCAAGGACAGAGGCCAGCTCCCAGCGACAGGAGCATGGAGTGGCAGGTAGCTCTCAAACCCACGTCCCCTGGAGCCTAGGCAAGCCTCTCGGTGGACTCAGCTCAGCCTCTGCGAGTTAGGGGTTAGGAGCTAGGACGCATGTGCTTCCGCCACGACCCTGGGGGCAGCCCAGCATCCACCGCCGTCCTCTTGGCTTCCTTCCCCTCCTGCTCAGCCCAGCATGCTCTCGCAAGCCACCCAGCTGCTTCTGTCACTGCGCAATCTTGATCATTCTTCTCCACTTCTTCTCCACTGATCCTCTCCTGAAACCAGAAAAGAATCAACAGAGCATCCCAATTAACACAGGCCTGGCTGCGCCCCGCACCGCGAGCTCAGAGTCAGAGCAGGCGAGCCAGGTTCACACACCAGGCCGGCCGCGGGGACACCGTGTTCTGTACATAAGATGCTCTGAGCACAGGTTTACTGATGGGAACATATATTTAGTGGTGGGACATGAAGTCCTGGCCCGGGGAGATCCAAGAGAGAACAAGGCAAGGAGGCACTACTATAAAAGTGGGGAAGCGCAGACTTCCCCAGACACACGCCCGCAGGCGTCAGGTCACACTGGACACCTCCTGCTTCCTCTAACGGCCTTCAACGTTTAAAAGGAGAGTCAGAGATTAGCACAGAGGCAAAGCACACGCTCGGTTCAGTAGCCTGACAGCCCATCTTTCCACTGTGACCCAAGGAACAGGAAGGCCCTCCTCTGCCAGATGGCTAGAACTGATGTCAGACACTAGTCAGCTTTTCTAAGATAATCCAGCACTTTCTGAGATGTTTTATGCCTTTGATGTTGAGTCTTCTATCCCAGAACCATCTGTTTTCCAATATAAGCAGCATTCCCCACAAAATGCATTTGTAAGTTTTGGAGTTTAATGTCATTATCGTTTCTTTAGGGATTCCAGAGCAAAGGCCCTTCCACGCCAGCAAATGGATGTCAGCACAATCACCTTGTGTGGACAAGTGTCTGGCTTGGCCTCAGAAAAATACTCATGGAATCGTATCGCTCCAAAATCTTATAAACTACTGACGACAACAGGCCAGCAAGGAATATTCAGGAACCATCCTTACCCGCGGTTCTGTCTACCATTGCTCTGAACCATCTCATAACCTAATGCCCTATTCCATTTTCTAGCATCTGGGCTTGAGGGGCGGGGAAGGAAAGAAAGATAAATTTGTCCACACATTAGTTCTGCTTGAAAGATACTGGTCCATCACAGAATCTGAAATTCAGATTTTTCAGTATTTCCTTAACAATGCAAAATTACGGCTCATTCCCATGTGTTCTCTGTTTAGTTTTGGCTTTGTCAGAGCTTGTCTAGCTTAGAGAAGAGGACCGTGAAAAGTCTAATTGCAACGGCCTCTCCTTCCACTGCAGCTCGGAGATTCTGAGCGTAAGTCAAGGGCCTACTGCCCCAGAGGAGCCCAGAGCAGAGGCGTTTAGGAAACTTCATGAGCATGACACAAGGACTAGTCCTAGAATGACACACATTTGTCACTGTACCTTGTTGTCTTCTCCATTATGGGATATTCCGGGTCCACCGTCTTGAGAAGTGCACCCAAGAGCAGTCATTTCCTCCTTGGAATTTCCTGGGTGAGCTGCCCTCCCCAAGCAAGAGAGTGGGGTGAGCAAATGGGGTGACTCCCAAGGGACTGGACAGTCAAAAGATTAATAATATAATGGGGACACTTCCAAAAGCAAGGAACCCCACGACCCAGTTCTATCCTTTTGACCTTCACCCTGACACCTGCTACATGCCCCCCAAGGACAGGAAAACCTTCCAGGTATTGGGAGAGTGGTTCTATTCAAGCATTTCTGAGCTGGAATTTTGATCTATTCTCCCAACTATTCAGGCATTAAATGCAGTCAGATCTCCCATTCTATTCCTTGGCCCCCCTCTTTGCTCACTGGAATTCTTACTCACAAGAAAGACCATAATCACACATGTTAATTCAGCCTCTCTCCCCGCTCCTACCAAATCAGTACCAACTTGGAAGGGGGTGACTTTCTTATCCTACTGTGCACCTCCCCACACCCCAAAATCCATATGTGGAGGTGTGGTGAGGGGTTCAGATCCTTTAAGAAAAAAATATGCAGTTTTCCATTTGAGCTGAAAATACAAATGAAACACATGAAAATACAAATGAAACACATTTTTCGAATAAAGAATATTACTTGTTACCTATATAAGTAAATGTTTAAAGTTTATTTCCAGACTCTATAAATGAGGAAAATTTGGTTTGGCAAAATTGAATCATAAGCATCTAAAAATGCCAGTCCTCTTTAGCCTTCTCTGATATGTAAGATTTTATATAATACAGTAGTAGCTGCCCATGTACTTTCCTTCACAAAAACCATAAGCTCATAAATGAGCTCAGATACTTCTCAGCCAGCCTCATTGACTACTGTATCCGGATCACCTGGACACTTCCCAGTGCTGAGAAATGCTCTGTTAACAGTAATCAACTGAATGAGTGAGTGAATGAATGAATATGAGAATGAAGTAGATAATCCATTATCAACTTTCTTCCTTTCCTGATGTGTGAAACTTTGGTGTTATGTGTTATGGATGGAAGTATGTTAATAGCTATCAAACTTTCCCTTGTACTTTATTCCTAAGCAATGAAGGTGCAATACTTTTTTTTAAATTAATGATAATTTGGACTCACGAGGATGAGAATCTGAGAAGCAGTCACACAGGTAGGTCAAAGGCAGATGCCTATGATTTACCATCCGATGCTGCAGCAGATAACAGTGGCCACTAGAGGGAGCCACACAACCTTTCAAAGAGCAGCATTAGACCAAAAAGCCCATCCAGCGTGGTGGTTCTGTTCTCTGCCCTTCCCAGCCTGGCTCACCCCCATATGCTTGCTCTTGCTACTGCTCTGTGTAATGCCTGACTCTCCAGAACAAGCTGAAACAAGTTAGAGCTGCAGTCTGCTAAGCATCAGGCTTTTAGAAAAATGACCCCACTTCCTCAGCTCAAATATTTCACATCTCTTTATGTACATTCCCTCCAGCTTTAAAAATTAAATACAAACAGAAGAAAAGTATTTTCCCCATGGATGACAGCTGAATCTATTAAAACTTCACCTGGAAAGAAAGCAAAAATATAACCTAAAAATGAAAAAAAAATTCTTTTTTAATCTGTGTGCAATTACTTCCTGCCTCCAGCAACTTTTTCCGTTAACAACAACAACAAAAAAATCAACTGTTGACGTATTCAATTTCATCCCCCCCCCCCCACCAGTAAAGAAACTTAGGCATGTGCAAGCTAATGGGGAAGTCACATCGGACAGAATTCTGATCCTATTGGTCAAGTTTCAAAGGCTTCATATGTAACTGAGTATAGGAAGAAAAAAGTTTCCCACAAACTCCTTCTCTCAAAAGGTCTGAATAACCCTGTAAATATTTTCAGGGCCTTTATAAGCCACAGATGTTATCAACACTCAGGACCGTGCAAACTCTAAAATCCCCAGTCCACAAATGACACTGCTTCAAAAACAGATTTTAAAACATTTGAAAGGAGAAGTTAATTTCCCGCTGAAATGTTGTGGAATGTTGTAATATGTCCACACCTTAGTTAGAATGTGAAAAGCAACGGGCCCCACCGGGCTTCTGGCTTATAGTTCTATTTCTGTGGCCCATGAAACTGTAGGAAACCTCCTAAATAATAGTCAGAAATAAAGGGACAAAAGATAGAATTTGAAAAACAGAACAATTCAAGAAAGCAACTCTAAGAATAACTGATTAAAACTAAAATTAAAATAAGTGGCCTCGTGACATTTCCAAGGAAGAGAAGATTCCAGAATCTGCATTGTTCGGTGATGGGTGGGAAAACCCAGTGGGCTAACATTTGCTGATTTCCGTGAGGAGAGAATCAGACCAAAAACAGAGAAACTGCTGAGCATCTGGGCTAATCTGTGATCGCATCTGTGGCCCCCACTAGCCGGCCCGCCTGGAAAAAACCTGAATGTCAGCGTCGACTGACAAAATTGTTACAAAATGAAGCTGGTTGGCGGAAAACCTTCACGAGTGAATTAAAATCCTGACTGCTGGCCCTGGGGGGATACAGGAGGTGTGGGTGAAACTGGGAACTAGCCATGATTTACACAGGGAGTGAAAAGACCACAACTTAGAATTTTTCAAAAAATTATAGTTTCGGTAATCTAATTATATCCCTAATTATAATGATGACCCTTCTTCCTTCAAGGGACTCAAGCACGCTTCTGGAACCTTCTCTGTGGAAGTCCCCTCATTTGCCGTTTTAAGGAGAGAGTTGGTGCATCTCAGAGTGAGTTAAAGTGACAGGGCTGGCATCTGAATTCTAGCTCATTTCCTCTGACCAGACCACACCAACTCTCTCAGCTCTTGAAATAACCCCCAGTGGAATTCTCCTCAGAGGAAGCCATCTCCCCAATTATGCAAAAACGTCCTCCCCTGCAAACCCCCTCCAGCCCATGCAATTTCCACATGATTTCCACATTCTGATGGGCAAACCATTTTTTATTCCATTTCCAGCCAAGGAAGTGCAACATCCAAGCCACAAAGGCCAGGAGGCAGGGGGGCTGCAGGCTCCTTTGTGAAGCCCAGTGAGAAACCCACACGGCTGGTCGGCCAAGGGCCTGGGACCCTGGCTGGCTTCCCATCATTTCCAACTTTCTACGCCACAGGGCAAGTCACTTAACTGCCTCATTAGGATCACAGTCACAGCCCTGCCACAGCCTCCTTCCCAGGTGCCCGGTCACCCCATTAATATCTGTAAAGACCCATTAAGCCTCCTAGCGGAAAGGCACCAGAGGAGCAAAACCTATCACCATCATCATCAATAAACTCCCAGGCGCTCTCCCCTGTCGTCACCTCAGGGGAATCAGTCACCATAGGAAGAGAAAGCCTGGCACCTCAGCCTGCCCATGCACCCCCTAATGAGCTGCCTGCAGCCTCGGAAGAGGCACTCGACCCTGAAGGGATCTCAGCCATACTTTCATCGTGGCCGGTGAATCTAAAGAGACGCTCCCTCGCCCCCATCTCCCCTGCAGCCCTGCCCCCAGCTGCACCTCCAGCTGCAGCTGAGGCCATCCTCCCCTACCTGGGAGGGGTGGAGGGAACGCGGACAGAAAGCAGCCTGGAGACCTAAAGACAATGTGTGTCTGCCACCCTGTTTGCCCCTCCGGCCCTCAGACCCACCACCTGGGCACAGACACCATCCATCAAAAACCCGCCACAGGGCTTCCCTGGTGGCGCAGTGGTTGAGAGTCCGCCTGCCGATGCAGGGGACATGGGTTCGTGCCCCGGTCTGGGAAGATCCCACGTGCCGCGGAGCAGCTAGGCCCGTGAGCCATGGCCGCTGAGCCTGCGCGTCCGGAGCCTGTGCTCCGCAACGGGAGAGGCCACAACAGTGAGAGGCCCGCCTACCGAAAAAAAAAAAAAAAAAAAAACCCGCCACAAACTCGCTGAAGACGGCCTGTGTGTCTGTAACAGGGCTGCCTCACACCCACGTGAACCCTCCCCGGAGGAGAAGGGACAGAGCTCGCTCTTCCAGCAAACTCTCGTGTGTCTTAGAATTTTTACCAGATGCACACATTGCCTACGGGAAACAATGCTTTCCAGGGACCTTCTGCTAGACAGAGGCAATTAATCCTCTTGCATGTTTCAATGACCCTTTCCGACTGGAAACGGGGAACCCTTAGTCCCACGCAGTCTCTGATTTGGCTAAAGTGGGGGAGATCTATTTGAGCAAGAGGGTCTGGAAGGTGTGGTTCGTTCAGGATGGGAGGTGGAGGAAGGCCAGGATGCCACCGCCCGGGTTGCACCCCCTCCTCTATTCCTGCACCAGCAACAAACAGAACGTCTGCGCAGCCTGACTCGATCCGCACCAGTGAATCTGTGCTTCCGTTACCGACACTGGAAAAAACCAGACCAAAGGGCATGCTTTCACCCCGACTCACAATCTGGACGCCTTGCCTGTTGAAGCTGAACCTTCAGCCAGATGTTGACTCGCTGGCCCCAGGCTCCTGGGGGCTCCGCCTCCCACAGGCGCCCCCGCTCCTCTGGATGTGCCGCCAGGAACTTCCTACAGACTGAGGGGAAGTTGCACACAGGAGTCAGGGAGGCCCACGCAGCCCTGGTGCACACACGCCGTCCCTCGTCTGCGTCCCCAGGCACGGCCACTTCCGTCCTTCCTGCAGCCTGGCCCGGCCCACCCCCAGCTCTCTGCTCTGCCGCTGCCCCACGCCAACCCCCACCACCCCGCCCGCCATCCTCCTCACCTGCCTCCCACTTTCATCCATCCCATTAAGCCTGCTCAGGCGGCCACAACAAAACACCACACACCCAGGGCCTTAAACAACAGACATTTATTGCCTCGCAGCTCTGGAGGCTGGGAAGTCTGAGATCGAGGTGTTGGCAGGCTTGCCTTCTCCTGAGACCTCTCTCCTCGGCTGGAGATGGTACCTTCTTACTGTGTCTTCACACCGTCTTCCTTCCGTACCCATCTGTGTCCTAGTCTCCTCCTCTTACTGGGACCTCCTCTTACCAGTCCTATGGGATCAGGGCCCACCCTTATGACCTCATCTAACCTCACACTCAGTTACCTCCTTATAGACCCCATCTCCACCTACAGTCCCCTTGGGGGTTAGAATTTGGGGGGGATCCAATTCAGCCCATAACGGCACCCCACTCGGTCCTCTCCACAGGCACTGTCCTTCCTCTTTCTGAGCCTCCACAGCCCTCTTCTCCCAGGGAGCCTTCCAGCTCATCCACAGACACCTTGACTCCAGAACCCCCTCAAGGTTGTAGACTTTTATGTTCACAGGGTGAGCATTTCCACGTGGCAGGGCCCCGAATCCAGCCGAATGGCAAGCTGATCCTGGTAGTGCAGGTGCTGGGGGCTCCATCAGGCCCAGGGCAAGAGCACAGATGGAGACCCACAGAGCATGATGCTAAGTACTCAGAAGGTATAAGCCAAGCTAGCCGAGTGCTAGAGAGAATGTTCTGCTCTCCTGTCTTGACAAATATAACTTCTTAACAGCAGGAAAAGCCAGTTTCAAATTTAGAATTCTTAGACTCCTTGGAGTTTTGCACCTGAATGTGGCGATGCCAAGAGAGCTGGCCCCCAGCTGGCAGCCCACCCCCTCCTCCCATCCTAGCTCCCAGCCCATGGCAAGGGGCCTGTGCATGCAAATATGGACACCACGCCCACGCTCCACCTACACCCCACCAGCAGCTGTGCCAGGGCCTAAGGATGTGCAAATTGGTGGCATCCTCTGCTCTTGGGGGCACAGATCCAGGATAGAGTCCACTTGGGCCCTTGGCAGCCCCTGACAGGAACCCTGGGGTTCTGGTAGCCTGACCTGCTTTAGGAGTGGCCTGCACCCAGGCGAGAACATCCTCCTGGACCCGCAGATTCCTCATCCCGTGGAGAGAGGCGCAGCTTCAACAGGGTGCTAAAGCGCGGGGCCCTGGGCGGGAGGCCCTCCGGGCCATTCCAAGGGCAGGACTGTACTGGATAAAAGGCGGTCAGTGAAGCCTGGAGCAGCCACACCCGGCCCGGCCTTGAGCCTCCAGCTGCTGCTTTGTCCTGCTTTGTCCACACTCTGCCTGCTCACGCATGAGCCCAGGCACAATCAGGGTGACGTAGAAGCTCAAGGCCCCAGCACCCTTGGCTGGGCCACTGAGACCCCAAGTGTGATTCAGAATCAGCACCTTCAGATCTTCTTTCTCTACCAGGTGGAGATACAGGCCCCTGCGAGGGTCTCTGCAGTGCTGGCCTGGGGGTGGTCCCCGCCCTTTGGAGCCTGCTCCTCCCCAGGGGAGACCTAGGTGGCTGCCCTGGGGGCCAACACACTCAAACAAAGTCTCAGAGCTGAAATGAGAATGAGGGGAGGGATAGACAGCAGGTGGGCATGGACAGCGAACCAGTGCCAGAGTTCCAGAACTTTCCAAGACCTCCAAGTGAGCAAACCAGTGCAGCAAGCCTCCAGTATTCTTTGCACAAATTCAGGATCTTCAGAGTTTCGTGAGAGATGGAGAGTTTGAAAATACAAAGAAATGACCAAACCCACTTGAGGAAAATAATGTTTTCGCCTGGTTTTCTTATGACTTCCAAGCAACAGAAGTTTCCTTGCCTTTCGCAGCTTTCTCTCCTATCTGTTGTTCTCACACCAGAAACACCAGTTTCTGACACTGGAAACTCAATAGTAAGGGTCCAAAAGTATCTGTTTGACAAGAAGTGAGGCAGGGCACAATGTGGGGTGGATGTGCTTCATGGGGGACCGTGGATCCTGGGAGATGCTCCCCAGTATCTCCCACCCTTGCTGATTTGGAGTGAAACATTTAGGATAAGGGCTTTCTGAATTTCCTCTGGCAAATACATATTAAGATTTCTTTTCCAGAACCTGGAGAAGGATTGTGGTAGTTCATGTTATATGTCAACTTGAGTGGGCCAGGGGTATCCAGACATTTCGTCATACATTATTCTGGGTGTGTCTGTGAGGGTGTTTTTGGATGAGATTAACATTTTTAATTATTTATTTATGGCTGCGTTGGGTCTTCGTTGCTGTGTGAGGGCTTTCTCTAGTTGTGGCGAGCAGGGGCTACTCTTCATTGCGGTGAGCGGGCTTCTCATTGTGGTGGCTTCTCTTTTTTGCAGAGCATGGGCTCTAGGCGTGCAGGCTTCAGCAGTTGTGGCACATGGGCTCAGTACTTGTGGCACGTGGGCTTAGTAGTTGTGGCTCACGGGCTCTAGAGCATAGAATCAGTAGTTGTGGCACACGGGCTTAACTGCTCTGCAGCATGTGGAATCTTCCCAGACCAGGGGTTAAACCCATGTCCCCTGCATTGGCAGGCAGATTCTTAATCACTGCGCCACCAGGGAAGTCCCGGGATTCACATTTGAATCTTAGACGGAGTAAAGCAGATGGCCCTCCCCATTGTGGGTGGACCTCAGCCAATGAGTTGAGGGCCTGACTACAAAACAAAAAGTCTGACCCTCCCACAAGTGAGAGGAACTCCTCCTGCCTGACTGACTGAGCTGGGACATTGGTCTTTTCCTATCTTTGGACTTGAACTGAAACACTGGCTTTTCTTGGGTCTCAAGCCTGTTGGCATTTGGACTGGAACCACACCATCAGTCCTCCTGAGCTTCCAGCTTGCTGACTGTAATCTTAGGATATCTCAATCTCCACGTTGTCTGAGCCAATTTCTTATAATAAATCTCTTCTCTCTCTTTCCCTCTCTTTCTCTTTCCCTCTCTTTCTCTCTTTCTCTTTCTCTCTCCCTCCCTCCCTCCCTCCCTCCCCCTCCCTCCCCTCCCTC